CCCAATAATTCATTCTCTGTAAACACCAAGAGATCAGGAATAAGGCAACCAAAAATCTGCTAATAAGCAGAAAGTAAGCATGGAGGAAAATAAATCAAATTTTACAAAAATTGTTCCAGAGACTAAGATAATAGGTTGAACATTTGGCATGTCTGATTTGGGCTGTATCCTGGAGACCTGAGGAGGACCAGAAATTGGACCTCAGGCTTCATTCGTACTTGTTCTGAGCTGCTGGCACTGTTTAAGAGCCCACGCTGTGAGAAATATCAGACGAGGCACCTTGATGGGCATGTGCCCAATAGTGAGACATGGAGGTTTGAGCAGGAGGGGAAGGGGTGGTCATCACTGGAATTCATAGAGAATTTATTCTCCCTCTTTCCAATTAAGCTCTTAAGCATAACCCCTACTTTGCAAGGTGGCGTCAAACAACTGTATTGTATCCAAGCCACAGATGAAGAAGGCCTACAAACAGAGAGGTGGCGTGGTGTGGAGGGAAATCAGAAAGAGTAGAAACATTGGTTAATAGATGACAAACATATGCAGTTAAGTTGTAGCTTGTAGTCAATAATTCATATTTTGGTTTGATCTTTCTCCAGCTGAGGAAGACCAACATTGCAAAGAGAATCCTGAAGAATGCAATTAAACAATGTCACATTAAATATCAGCAAAGCAAACTGCACCCAGGTAACGAGGTTTGCAACCGCGGTTATATCATGGGAAAAGAGAGTAACTGGTTTTGGCAATTAATGCTAAATTATACTCAGATTTGGATTTCTTTAGAATGGCCATTAAGATCGTAGAATCACAAATATTCCTACACCAGAACCTAAAAACAACACAAAATAATGAAAAAGCATTGATCAGTAAAATATTTTCAGTCCAATTTGTGACTCACTTTCTGCCATAAAGACTTCATCATTTTGTTGTAACATTATTCATAGTTTTAGCAATGAGACCAAGATACTTATCCTGCAGGTTTTATCCCTTTCTATATCTGTTTCTCAGGAAAGATAATAGCAGCTCCAGCAGAGTTGGACAACAGCAACCTGCTGGTGTTACAAGTGCCCAGCGTTGCAATGATGATAATGAAACAACTTGAGGCATTCAACATCCCTTAATTATTGTCACATTACTTAGCTATGCCGTGCTGGTTATTGGACACTGCTTTCACATCACTGGAATTGACACCAGAAAATTACCCCTGGATCAGAAATGGACAGAATTATAACAGAATACTTAGTGTTCTTCCTCTGCACGTCCAAGCTACATCTGAAATCTCCCCAGCATAACTCGAGGGAAAATTCTCCCTGATCATTTTTAATGCAAAACAATTTACGTTTAGGCATTGTGCTTACTCAAACAATGATTAAATAGTTAAATAGTTTACTGTTCTTTCTGACGAATAAGAATGAAAGAGATTCAATCACTCAGAATATTTATAAAGTAAACAAGCAGGGCAAGATTTTAAACGAGAGTTTAATTTTCCCTAGTAAGCACCACACCATGTGACACCAGGGAGCAGCTGAAATTGAATGCAAATCTAACATTTTGATAACAGTTTTTGAAGTGGAAGGTGATACTCTTATAACATTTAATAAAAATAAACTGCTACTAACATTGCAGAAGACCTTTTCTTATTGTCTGGAGCCTACAATAATCTCTTGAAAAGTTACAATACAAGTTGAGGATTTGTTTTTAACAAACAAACTTTATTATTGAAATCCATTCGATAACTGCAATTATAAAAGCAAACAAAGCATCAGAGATTGACCATTTGATATAAAATAATCTAGAAGATAACAAAAATAAATCTTTAGGTAACAAAATTTGATGTTTTATATTTTTCTATTCCTTACCACAGGGAAAAAGGAACAAAAGATTCTACACTTGTCTGTGACACACATTAGAAATACCACAATCTGCTAAATCTTACAGCAATTTAGAAATTTAAATACCCCGACAAAATATTCTGCTGCAACAGTCAAGATTTTATGTGCAGAAAACAGTAACTGCTTTAAGAAGTCATGGATATTAAAAGTTCATCATATTCTCTGGTTATTGTTTGTTAAAGGTACACACATCTCTGAAAATCATATTTTTAATTTTTAAGTTATCAAAGCAGTTTTTAAAAATCTCATGAAACTTTTTTTTTCAGTGTCATACAGTTTCTGTCTCAACCCATTCCATCCTTCCTGATACATTAGTACACTAGTATCGCCAATCAGAGATTAGTTTTCATTCAGAGTATGCAGACAGCTGTAGGTAGCTACAATGCTTGAAAATGATGTCTTCATGTTTGATAAGTGAAGCAGGCAAGAACAAGTGCGGAATTGAATGATGCGATAGAATTTGGGTGAAGCGTGAAGGTGTAAAATAAACAAAACTGGTTATTTTATAACTAATTTATTAATATAACCAAACTCTCATCATTTCTTAGCTTCCTCCCCCTTGTCATTTCTTTCTCCTTCCCTTTATTCACAAGAGGAAGAACGTGAAACCGAAATAGATATGGAAGTATGTTACCACACTAGGCAGAACACTGAGATAGCAAGGCGTAGAGCTGGATGAACACAGCAGGCCAAGCAGTATCAGAGGAGCAGGAAGGCTGACGTTTCGGGCCT